GCTCCCTTTACCAGAACAGCACTTTCAGGTGTGAGATTTCAATGAAACTACCTCTGGGTTCTTGAGTGCCATGTCAATAGCAAGACCAGGGCCAAAGCCCGTCAGAGCCTTAAAGTTGGTGGAGTTGGGTAGAGGCCGACGACACTGAGTAAACACAGAGAAGGCCAGCGACTTGAGGTGCTGGCTGTAGAGGTGGCGCTCCCCACTGTGCACCGGCTGCAGCAGATACTGACAGGGAACAATCTGAGAAGCAAAAGAATAACAGTGGCACCTCAGAAAGGGTTCTGGTAATGCATTTGTTGTGCTTCTCTCTACAGTCACTACTTTGAGTCATGTACTGTGTCACACTCACAATTCTTTTATGCAATTCTATATGGCAATATCGCTGATTGCTCTTGACTTACGTTTTAGTTTTTAGTAATAGCGGTGGGCTTAGCTACTTTTGAACTGTTACTAGAGAATTGTAGTAGGAAATGAAGTACTCCTTAAATATCTGTTAAGTACAAAGCAATCTTAAGTCATTCCGTCTTACAGGTAGCATCTATACCTAATAGGGGAGTGGAAAAAGTCTATTAAACTCAAAATAAAATGCTAAAATAGCAGTTTAATGTTTGTGAAAACATGATACCAGGTTTCAGCAATATTGTACTTGTCTGTCAGCAAGAATATTCATTCATACCTGAAACCTAAATCTTCTAAAACTGTCATTATGGTTTTCCTATTTGTCTCAGTGAGTCAACCACCCTTTAATCTCAAACTCCACTAGGACGCCCTGGTACTTTCCTTCACCCTCTCTGCCTTTCTAGCCTTGCTACATCGCAGCCCTTCTGGTAACAGCAAAATCTGCAAAGTCTCAAATCTACAGAACACAGAAACAGCAGCCTTTTAAACGCAGCTGCAAAACAGAAATCCTGGATCCTACCCTGCGATGTCAGCTGGGTCCTAGCACAATCAGAAACGGGAAAACTTTCTACTATCAAACTATGTTTTTTCTTGATATGCCTCCACAAATATGAAGTCATAGTTTATGATTTTCTTGCACGTGTGTAGTTTACCAGTGCTTGTTATCATAGGCTAGCTTGTCAGCATCTGTTCGAGTTGGTCCTGGCCATTCTCTGTGGTGTTTTGGGAGTAATCTCAGAGGAAGTTAGTGTGTACTGAGAATGTTGAGAATACAACCAAAAAAAAGATTCTGTATTTCCATAAGTGGGGTAAAACTATGGAATAATTTAAGTGTAGACATAAAAAATAGTAATAGAATTGACAAGTTTAAACATAAATATAAAGGTATGTGTCAATCAAGATATATGCAAGAACAGGCTTAATGATTAATTAGATGGAACATTGTGGGTGTGGTGTATGAATGTTAACACTTTGTAATAATTCTTTAGTATATTACTTGTGTGGTGTAGAAGATAATTATTTAAGAATGTAATTATGTAAGAATGTTAACACTCTGTTATAATTTTTTTAGTATATTACTTGTGTGGTGTAGAAGAGAATTATTTATGTAGATTTACTGCTTGCAAACCAATGATGGTAAGATGATGTCATGGGGTAGGACTGGATAAGTCTGACTTCTTCCTACTCCATTCAAGCATGTACTAGGTATAAGCAAGTTGATATTGGATTATGTGTATGTGTATTGTCATATCAACTGTTTTTTACATGCTTGACCGAATAAATCAAATCAAAAAAAAAAAATCAAAATGTACAGCCATAACATTCTGACCACTGAGAGGTGAAGTGAACAACACTGATCATCTTGTTACAGTGACACCTGTCAGTGTGTGAGGTATATTAGGCAGCAAGTGAACATTCAGTCCTCAAAGTTGATGTTGGAAGCAGGAAAATGGAAAAATGGACAAGTGTAAGGATCTGAGTGACTCTGACAAGGGCCAAACTGTGATGGTGAGATGACTGAGTCAGAGCATCTCCCACACTGCAGGTCTTGGTGGGTGTTGTTGGTCTGCAGTGGTTAGTACCTACCAACAGTGTCTAAGGAAGGACAAATGGTGAACTGGAGACAGGGTCATGGACGCCCATGGCTCTCACTGATGATGAGGTTGGTCTACTGTAGATTAAACTTTTAACTTCCATTTGTACTTTTCAAAAGATTAAAATGTATTTGAATCTTTTGTTTGTGTAAAATGAGAAACACTGTCCCTTGGTCTCTATGAAGAGAAAGAGTCAGGGGCTGTAGTGGTGATATCACACCTAGAGTAGTGAGGCAGTTGGATTGGTCCAATTGGTCCTCACAACCACAGTTTTCACTCCTTTTATATAAGTTTTACAATTGTTTTTCACTGTATGGTCAACACATTCATGATCTTCCTGGCTGAAACTGTAGAAGCAAATGGATTCACAAAATCCAAAACCCTGTTTTATTAGTTTAATTTTATTTTTATCTACTTTTTGTAACTGCCACATTAAGCTTAGCTTTTATCCTCTCTCTGGGGTTAGAGGTGCGAGGAGGGGTGAGGTGGGCGGGGTTAGGAGCCATTTAACACTACAATATTACATTTGTTTTTTGTACATTTTGATGTGCTGTTTTGTATTTTATTATTCAGCTATGACATGTTTCAAAAAGTCTTCAGCTGTAGTTAAAAATATATTTGTAAATTACTGGTGATTATGTCATTGTGCACATACTACTTTGAATTGGGTATGACATTTTAGATGCTTTTGCTTGAAAATAGCGGTAAAATGGGTGACACTCATGCCACCATAACAGCACAGTGCATGTACATTACCACATGGTGAATCTCACTGGCTGGAACCAAGATTTTTAACAAAATGCAAATAAGCACAGAGGAACGTAATCACTGCTTCTCTCCCAGACACAATACTGTTTTAACCGAAGCTTTGCTGAACTGGTAAATATCTAAATTTTTAACTATATCAATATGATCTGACCTTAAATACAAGATTAATCTGCAGTGACAGAAGGGATAAATATTAACCCTGCCCTCTTCTGCCATCATGGTAATAAAGGCCAATAGTCAGTCAAAACAAAAGCACATTCACACCCACTGTGTTTATAAATTCCCTCTGGCGTGCTGATGCAATCCTGTGCCACTGTATCACAGGTGTGGCCATTGCCACCTCTGTCAGTGTCTGCTAATGAGTCCCTTGCTCCTTCTCACCTCTTTTTGTGCCCACTAATAGCACACTCCATAGTAACTAAACAGGCGCAGAGAGGTGATAATTTAAAACTAAAGATGACATGTTAATACAGTCATAGACGTCAAGTCACTTCTGTTTGAGTATTTCTTTTATATGCTCAACCCCATAAACTACTTCTCAACCTTAGACTGACTCAAGTATGAAAAACAAGAAAGTATCAGTTCACTATTTCCCAGACTTCAACACTGGCCACACCTGTACTGAGACAGCGTTTCTGATGTGAGCAGGCAGGAGTTGGAGCATCTCCATGTAGCAGCGCAGCAGGCCGAGCGTGTAGGTCCCAGAGTGGACCTCTCTGTCTGCGTCTTCGTAGCTGAAAGGGTCGACTATGTACACCACAATAGCAGGCGGGTAAGACACAGCGTGGGACTCTGCGTCGGTTGGCTTTCCCACTTTGTCTCTCTCCATTGTGCTGTCGAGAAAAGCGGCACCAATACATAGCAGGTCAAGAAATCATCTAAAGCTCTCCAAGAACTAACAACAGGTGACCAATATATAGTAAAACAAAGTTTATGAACATTTTTAAAAAGTTAAATGTGTTTGCAGCATAACAGAAACAGATGAGTAATGAGAAAGTCAACAGGAACACGAAAACGTCTAGCACTGCTGATTATGAAAATAATCGATTGACTAACCATTAAGTCAGTTTTCATATATTTTCAATGTTTCCAGCTTATAAATGTTGAGGTTTCTCTGTTAAACTGATTACCTTTGGGTTTTGGACTTTTTGGCTAAACAAAACGAGATGTCTGATGATGTCACCCTGAGCTCTTAGAAAGTGTGATATTGTGACTGATATTTTATTGGTATTACCAATTCATCAAGAAAATAACTGGCACATTTCAATAATAAAAGTACTCTACTGTTGCAGCCCTATTCACTTCTACTTGAATACACAACACGCAGCATATATACCCACCAGGCACGGTCTTAACTAATATGATGTAGTATTCAGTTCAGAAATGTCAGTTTGACAACCCAGCCTGGAGGGAAAATGTGCCAGTTGCTTGCACAGTGTTCCTAATGATGCCATCAATAAACTAGTTTTAAATAAAGCTATTATTAATTAGCCCATTTGAACACATAATGACTATCAAAACAACTTTTATACCCAGACAAACATCATGTGCTGCTGCTGCTGAGGAAACGCCTGAATTCAGTGATGTCAATCTATAAGATCGTCAGTTGATCTTGAGGGAAAATCAAACTACTGTTCTGCCAACACATCAAAACGAACACTTCTTTTCAAAGGCGTTCCGTCATTTGCTGTTTTTCTTATCTGTAGCAACAAGAGCTGAAGACCAGTCTCACAGCTTAAGACAGCGTTTTGTATGTGATCCACCTGAGCCGCAATTACTAGAACGTGACTGCCAGCTCTGGACAACCTTGGTCTCAATATAAAACTACAAAACAGATCTTTCACTTATATTGTTTCCTTAGCAAAATCAGAGCATATGCATGAACTTCGTTTCTCGCATGATGTATAAAGCGACACCTTTGTCAGTAGGTACTATTAAGATGGAGCTAAACATGCTTATCACTAGTAGTAAAACGTATTAAAAATAGATTCAAACTACTCTTAATTTCTTTTGAGTTCCACAGGACTCCAAACACCATGTTAGTTTGCAGACTGACTATAACTGCATGCTAGTTATAGTCAGTATTCTCACACCACAGACCGCTCCTAACCAAACTTTGTTGCAACCAGGTATCCATAGTTTATATTGTCGCTAGGATACAGGGCATGATGTCAAGGGCAACCTGTACAGTACAAACTGCAGAGCATTAGCACACTGAGTAAATTTTTCAATCCAGAACACCACACAGGTTACTGCTAATGTGACACAAAGTGCAAATGATTGTGAAATTAAAATCATATTAATCATGGACATGCTAGGTCGCTAATGTTACCAAAACAACAATCAAATCAAATCTGAGCCCTCTGGCCGCTTTAACTCTCTCCATCTCAAAAACCAAGTTCTTGCTCTTTGTCCCGCTGTCTGTGCAAAGGATCATGACCTCTTTAGTCTGGAAGCCACTGTTTCGCATGCAGGCTGACACACAGTAGCCATGGCTGGCTGTTTGACTACTTGTGGTTCTAAAAATGCTTTATAAAACCTTCTCTAGGTAGCAGGTGGGGCTAATTTATGTGTTGTCAAAACACAGGGTAGGGAAGCTGGCATAATAACAGAACGGCTGCAGATGGCAGACTGTCATAGAGGTGGGTAGGATAGTTGAGACGTTCCACGTCCGGTCTCATTTTCATTTGCATCTTCAGGATCAACATCTAATCAGCTGACTAAAAAAAAGCAGTGGAAACCTACCTCTCTGGTGTCTCAGTGGGCCCTTGAGGTTGGTTGGCTGAGGGCCCATTTTCAGCCAGCCCCCCTGCACCCTGTGGATTTGACTGGGGTCCATTCTGAGACGTGCTGCCCTGTAAGCCCCCTGTCCCAAACATTGAGAAGGAGCTCGGCTTGGCTGAGGCTACCCCACCGATAGTCTGAGATCCTGAGGAGGAAGAGGGAGGGGTGCTGTTGACCTGGGCAGGCTGGGCAGAGCTGGTGCTCGAGCTCGTAGTGTTGGTGTTCTGGTGTCCTGAGGAGGTGCTGGAAGAGCTGGACGTCTGACAGGAGGATGCGGCCATGGCTGGGCTGCGCTGGGACAACAGAGAGCTATCCAGAGACTGCTCTGACAGGTATGGAGCTGAGAAGGGTCACACAGTAAAAAGGAAATGCTTACTGATTCTTTTAATAAACCGTGTGATGTCACCAACTTTGGATTTTTAGCAGTATGAGTGAACATGTTACCTAGGTCATAGCGACACACTTGAGCAAAGAGTTTGAGCTTATTAAAGGCTTCATTGTTTCCATCTCTAGCAGACAACTTGAGGAACCATTCACTAAGGGGCTGCTCTGTCATGCTCCTGCCTTCTGTGGTGCCAACCTTCAAAACACCCTCTGGGTGACTCTTACAGATGGGCCTGTGTTGCCCTAGCTGGCATGCCTGTCAACAAAAGAGAATGAATGCAGAAGTGACACAGTGAATCATTTCTTTAGAGCATGAAAACCGTTTTTCATATCACTACAAAAAGGAAGAACTGCCAGTTGCGTACCTCATACATAGCACTTAGATCTTTGAAGAAGGTCTTGGCCCCGTGGAGCAGAGCCTCATTTTCTGGGCAAACCACAACATATCCTACATCCCTCTGAGAACCAAAAGGATCCAGGAGAAGCTTCTCCCAATAGGGCAACCCAAAAGGTGACAGCACCACAAAGTCATACTCATAACCGACCAAAAAAGTCGGGATGGGAAGAGGCTCCGGTGATTCATCTGTACCTGTAGTGAGACAATAAAATAATCAGCCACCAAAGTATTCCCAAACCAGTGTCTACATTTCTTCAAGACAGAGTAGTTTGGAACCATTAGGCTAGGTAGGGGTGTGTGATATCATCTATGATAATATCTTAATTGTTGTTCAGGCAATGTGTGAGCTGATATTAAAGTATGTCACTCACTTTACAAAAAACAGAAACGCTGCTCTGAGTCCATGTGCATGTTAAGATTGCATGCAGTGTGTACATGGCCCCTGTGCCACAAGTTAAGCTAGCGTCGCTGCCTAACAATGCATTAGCAAAGTTAAAAATAAGTGAACAAAAAAACAGGAGACAACTTATAGACACCACCAGCCTCCTAGTCTGTGCTGTTGGATTTAATTGCTAGATGAGGATCATCCTTGCATGGGAGTATTTTGGCTTTGAAAGGACAGATGCTGCTCAAAAGACGACAATCTGCAAACTATGTTGGTTGCTGTTGAAGAGCCTGTTTCACCATCTGCGGACTAACCACTTCACAGAATATGAAAGCTTTGGGAGAGAGATGTCCACAGCAGGACTAAACCAGCTGAGGAACCAGCACAAAAACACACTTGGCAAACTTTCCACACACCATATGATCCCCTCCCAGCCATCTTGTGGAACTGTTGCCAGGTGAGCGGTCCCTGAACGCCCCAGGAACGAACACTCCTCTTCTTCTGAATGGTGTCCTGTAGCACAGGCTGGAGGGACAACAACACCCGCAGGATGTCCTGAGAGAACAGCTTGTCCATATCTGCTGCTACACAAGGAAAAACAAAAAGACAGATGTCAACATTCTTATGTCTGAGGTCAAGAACAAATGAGAAAAAAAAAACGAGCTTGCAGTACAAAAAAAGTAGTAATACATACATTTGCATTTTGACCACTGATGAAGACAAGTGCTTTTCACTAGTGTTTCATCTACTTTGCCTCCTGACATGTTGTCCATGAACTGCCTGCCATGCTCCAGTGCCATGTAGCAGTCGTTAAAACAGTCTCTCTCTCCGACCCTCATGAAGGAACTGGGGGCTGAGCTCAGCTTGGGGTATTCCACACCTGCCATCGGGGCAAAAGGGTTGGTACACTGGTCTTGCAGCAGCAGGATTAGCTCATCTAGAGGCTTGTCCTTCAGGCTGCCTGCCTTGTGCACTGTGGAAGCTCGGAGCGCTTCGAAACACCGCTCAGTGTCCCGACTTGCGTCTGAGCCACGTCCCACCACGTCCAGTTCGTCCTCCAGGAAGAGCCCAGCTGACTGGCCAAAGCACCGATTGGTGACGGCACTGAAGCCACAAGTGCATGGGTACTGGGCCTCGCCGTTGTCCTTGAGGTACACACCTACATCTGCTCCTCGGATGTTCATGTTACAAACACACACGCAGCAACTGTCAAAGTTGCAATCCTTGAAGAGGTTCATGACAGACTCAGAGAGTATGAGGGTGACGTAAAGGCTGTGAGCCTCAGGGATTGAGGGTACGGTGGCCGGCTCCACGGAGCTGAGGGGGCGGCAAGTGGAGGGCGTGGAGGCAGGGGAGTAAAGGTCAGAGTTGTCATACTTGAGTGAGCCCTGGACGCTGGACGGGCCTCGAGGCGTCCTTGGAGTACGTGGTGTGCGGGGGGTGGGCACGGAGAAGCGAGGCGTGGCTGGGGAGGGTAGGATGCCAGTGCCGCCGTTGCTAGGAGGAGCACTGCTGGACATGAAGGGCGTGTGGGTCTGAGGGGTGTAGGTCTGGCTGTAATCCGGTTCCACACTGGGGACGTTACTGTGGCAGAGATAAACAGTGATTTACAGGCTCTATGCCATCTCCAGAACTTGATTTCTGACTTTTGTCAGTGTTAAAAATGATGCATAATGGGCAGTTAACATTCATAAATAATATAAATACTAAGTTTCACCCAGAAACAAATATTACAACATGAGAAACAACACAAATCACTGGTTTTTATTAAATATTGCTAGAAAATACATTCTATTACATCATTTAAACTGTCATGTCAAACATGACCAATTTTCACAGCTGACAACATTTTATAAAGAAATTTTATATTATTTCAGTTTTTTTAAATTCACTTACACTTAAAACATCCCTTAACTGTCCACTCAAAGATCTGGGAGAAAGCTTTACCAACTATTATCGCTGCCGTATTATGCAGCATGTTAACCTTAAAATACCATGTGAAACTTTGGAGATGAACAAAATCCCCAAATGATGGCATGAATGCATTTAGTGAGTCAGCGCATCTTTTTACCTGTCTTTGGTGAGGAGACTGACGTTTGTCACTGGGGGTATCAGCTCCATTTTGCCCAGGGTCCAGCTGGGGGTGTACACACAGTCTTCTGGCAGTTTGATAGGCAACAGACACTGGCTGGGGGGGGGGTTGGGCGTAATTGGACCAGCCAATGAACAACTGACACGTCTCAGGTTTGTACACGAAGGAAAAGTCCTGAAAGCAGAGACACCAGTCATTTCATAATGAAGGCAAATGAAATCAGTGAAAAAAAAAATAATTGATGTAATTAAATGTTCCGCATGCTTCACACTTTGGCAGGTGTGTGATGTGCCACACCTTTACTTCAGATGGCTTCGGGCTGCAGAAGCCCTCCTCCACCTCCATTTTGAAGTGGTTGTTGAGCTGGCTGCCGTCCAGCAGGGTGAGACCCACCCCTGCTTCCAGGCTATCCTTGCTCCCGTTGTTCATGGGAGAGTAACCCTGCTGCTCCAATGAG